AACTATACATATATTATATTAAAATATACTTATATACAGTATCTGCTGTGTATCACAACGGCACAACGCATATAGGTATTTACACATTGAACATGGTATTTTATGTATACCTACCTATTATATCATATCATATATGATATATACGACTTATGTATATATATATATATATATATATATAATAAATACATGAATACGCGGCGGAATGACAATGTTAAAAACGCCGCCGCTGCAGTCGAATATAGTTGTGACGGGGGCGCACATAAATTTCGGTTCGTTTTCAGCTCATTAAACGCGTTTAACGATTGCAGCTTCGAAGGCTGCACACACTACTCTGGACAGACATCGTTTTTAATGATCTTCCRATATTATTATCTTCCCTTTGCATTCGGCCCGTCACCGCTTTAATAATTAACTCGCACCGTGGTAAAATAATATATATAATGATAATAAGCCGTAATATATTGCCAATATATGTGCAGCACACATATTTATTGTAATATTATATGGTCGGCGGTCGCCGTGTATACCAATTTAGTCGTTAATCATAAACGATTTTTTATGCCTATGCTATGTTGCAATAGGACGTAGATATCATATACATGTATAATACTTTATAAATACGTTTCGTGAGGTCATTTCCGTGTTCTATATACGGATAATGAGAATTATTATACATCGTTAATATCCGATTTCAAGATAATAACAGCGTAARACACAAATAAGTGTTTAAAAGAAAAAATCACTTTCCGACTATACGGCTTTTCCGTTTTGTAGGTACATGATATAATAGTTTGTATCTTTATCCTGCAGCGACCATATTATCATTATATATTATTGTTTATACAGAGTGATTCTCCAAGTATACGGTCACTCCGATTTATCATTTAATAATGCGAAAATGCTTTGCAAACCAACCTGGATATGTGATGAGTATTTGAATGTTAAAATTATGAAAAAAAGAGGTAAGTTTTAATGTGTATAGGCAACCACGTATGAAAATTATTGTATTTTAGTGTTGACAAAAATTTTATTCTAATGCMGATTCCATAAAATATAAGTAATGAGTAATGACTAATGAGTATTGAATTGTATCAAGTAGAAACCATACAGTATACTATAAATACATACAGTAAAATCGTTGAAATTAATATTAAGTACCGTATCATTACGTTATTATTATTTTTTGCAGGCATAATATTAATATTAGGTACGCATTAACACCGTTTCATAGAATCGAATTTCAAACGCWATATTTCACATATTATTTATTTTTATTCCTACGTAATTTGAATAACATTATTTTCCTCTCTTTTGCCAATCGCCACATTATTGTTTTTTCAATCATACTATTACTCATTGGCAGAAGTTTTATTTTGTAAGAAATGGTGGGACGGTGTTGATAAATTTAGCGCTTTCCAGAATCATATAAGGCCCACAGGAAGTCAACATCATCGGTCACGTCCGGTTTAATATTTTGTCCCCTCTTTTTTTCGGATTTTTGTCTACGCGTTAAACACACGCRAAATGCAATCGATCGATCTGCCCCCAGGAATGGAGAAACGCGAATGTATTTTTAGACATTATTACTAATCTTAAGGCATGTGAACAGCCTCCTCCCACCCGATCTGCATGGTCGCGGACGAGGTTTTGCAGTAATTGAGAAAAAAAATGTCCACACACGTATAGAAAAAATAAACTTAATAAAAAAATATATTTATACACTGGTAGCTTTTATGTACATACAAATAATAATAAAAAATAAAAATCGATAAAAAAATATCTTAACGTTTAAAAAGTATAAAAACTAAACATAATTTTAGATTAAATATATATAATATATACTAAATAGGTACATATATATATGCATAACTGTAAAAGGAAATACTATTAGTTGCATATCAATATTTTTCGATGTACAAACACCGCCTCCCCTGTGTTCACCAAGATGATAAAATTATTATTCCTGATTGACGTTGTTCCATTCGCCTTCCATTCTCCACACACTAAACGCGTAACTGAGTTGTTCATGAGCTACGTAAGTGCAAGATCCAGTTCCGGAAGATCCTTGTTCTAGAAAAAAAAAAWAATAA